CCGGGCTCACGTAACCCCGGCGGGAGGCGCGGCCAGGATCGGGCGGCCCCGCGCTCCCGGCACGCGGTGGGTGGGGGCAGGCTTAGCGCTTAAAGAGGACCGGGGGAAAGAGGGGGACCCGCGCTGCGCGTTCGGGTGGGCGCGGAAGGGGCGCGGCTCCGCAAACCACATGGGGTTACCGAGTAGGCTTCTTGCATTCGAAACATCGAGAGAGCAGCTGAGTCAATCTTTGTTCTTTTGAGACAAAGCTTCTGAACTTGGGGCCCCAGCTTCGTGCAGGTGCAAGGACTGTTTATAGAAGGCGGGTGTTAGGGAAAAAGGTTTTTAAAACGTGAAATTGCTGTTTGACAGGCCTGATTTGAATTGCACAACACCCAAGGTATAAACGTATGTTTCTATTTTTAATCTAGATTAGGTTTCTTCGTTTGTGTTTTTTGTTTTTTTTTCCCCCCTTCATTTAAAAGTTACTATTTGTTTTAATCATTTGCTGTTTTTGGCATCCTTGGCCATTATACCATCATGATTAATTATATAAAAACTTGTATGTGGAATGTTAAGCACTTTTTGAAAAATACGGAATTTACTACATAAGGCTTATAAACTTGAGAGCCTATCTTATAACAGTGAGTGTGCTTCCTAATACATATTTATTAATCAAGTTACATAAGTACCTGGTATCAACAGCAATATTATTTAGTTTGGCAGAAGGAAGAAATAATTATATTTGAGTTCACTTTTCTGTCCAGCCCCACATCAACCACCATGAGAACTTAAGCCTCTGTGTGCAGGACTTTCCAAACAGCCTGTGGTAGTGAAGGACTACCAGACTCAAAGCAGCTTTAGACTATACAGTTTTTCTGATGATGGATTATAGAGTTAAAATCAGTACACTGCCTCTCCAAGATACTCTTTTGTGAGAGCTGAACAGTGGTTTGCCTAGCTTCTCTTAAACTTGATCAAAAGTACTCTTGAAGACTCCACAAGGTCTTTCTATAAATACAAGCAATCAAAAATATCTATTTTAATATGCATTACCAATTTTTATTTTGTGGGTTTCCGGCCTTGGTAGGCAACTAGCTACTTATGCACTGAAATTTCATAAAAATAAGATAAATGTGGTAGTAATTAAAACTCAGTTATTTTTCTCTTTAAATTTTTGCTATTAAACTTGTGGATTCAGCTTGATGTTGCTAAGTAGTCATCCTTTACAATTGAGTGTACCAAACCAAACCCACTGCCATCAATTCCGACTCACAGTGATCTTGTAAGACAGAGTAGAACTATCCCATAGAGTTTCTGTAAATCTTTATGGAAGCTGACTGCCTCATCTTTCTCCAGCGAAGCAGCTGGTGGATTCTATCTGAACTTTTGGTTAGCAGCCAGATGTCTTAACCACTGCACCATTCATTGAATGTACACAGAACCCTAATTTGCAACATTGATGATTTCTGTTTACTGCAGGTCTCTCGACCTTATAGGGCTACCAGTATTAGTCAGCATCCCATTGGCCTCATCTCTTTAGACTTTCTAAAGACATGATCCCAGGTCATTCTAAAGCCGGCAACAGACCACCCTCTTTTACCCCACCTTTGGTCAGAAAATGCCCATTATTCTCTAAACTAAAGTTTGCATTCTCTCTACCTGCCTAGAAGCTTTTGTGACTACAAAATTGAAGAGGAATTTGGCATGGTGTTGTTCCTTGATATTCACCTACAAGAGCTGTCTCAGTTCCAGCCAGTGCAAGTTGTGCAGGATCAACAAAAGGCCATTAAAATATCATAGGTAGCATAGTGCCTAAGGCACTTGACTGCTAACCAGAAGGCTGGCAGTTCAAACCCACCAGCCACTCCTCGAAAGGAAGATGGGGTAATCTACTTCCGTAGTGATACTGCCTCGGAAACCCAAGGAGGGGTCGCTATGAGTCAGGCTGACTCTACGGCACATAACAACAATAACAACAGCCTGCCCCAGGCATCATCCTCAATTTTGGCCCTGACTAGAAAACTGTAAGGGGATAGTAAGTGTTTAAAACTAATTAAAGGCAAGACTTAAGGGAGAAAAAAAGGAACTGAAACAGTCCCTGTTTTAGGTTGAGTTCTCTAGAGAAGCAAAACTAGTGAAGCCTGTGTATATATAGAGAGAGAAAGATTTATCTCAAGGAGATGTCTCACGTGATTGTAGAGGCCGGCACATCCCAAAGTCCATGGGTCAGCAGAAGGCTTCTCCTGACTCCTGTGGTTGCTGATGAACCTAGAGTCAGCAGGTCAGACAGCATGCTGCTGGCTTGCAGGGCTACAGAAGCCAGCGAATCCCAATGTCGGCAGGTCAGACAACAAGCTGTTGGCTCAGGTACAAATAACTGGAGGTCAAATGATGACATACTGGAAACAGGATCCAGAACAAGCTACTCAGCTTTGCCAGATGGCCTACTGGCTACAGATGGTCTATATTGGGTGCAGGCCATACCACCTGTAAGGAAATTCCCCTTACAAGTGATTGGCTGATCATGTCAATGTCAGTTATGGATTACATTATATTACTTGTGGGAGTCACAAAATGGAAAATAATTACATCAGATCACAAAATGGAAGGTAATTACATACTACTGAGAATCATAGCCTAACAGTTAACCATCACTCTCCCCCTCTGTCTCTTTTTTCCCTTTGCTTCCCCTCAACACCATAGTCTTCCTCATCCTGGTCTAATCACACCTCTTGCTTTAGATTTTAAAAATGTGCAAAAATCCTAACCAGCAAAGTTCTGGGAAACAATTCTAGACAGCTCTCCAACCCTAGTCTTATCATTTTTACTTTTGGTTGTCCAAGGCTTTTCAAACACCCCATCTTTTGTCTGTCATCCCTTGGTCACTACCTCATCCTTCATGCTTATCATAGTTTTGGTCTCCACGATCTGTCATGTGGCTCATCTCCTAACTTGTAACATTTCCTTCATTCATCTCATTCCACCCACACCCTCTTGGAAAATTTATCAATTGGATGCTCCTATATGCAGCTGCCAAGAGGAGGAAGAAGAGAATAAAGCAATATCCTGAATACTTAGAGATGACAGAATGGCATTGTCTTAGTTGCAGCTAGTGCTACTGTAACAGAAATAGCACAAGCACGTGGCTTTAAAGAACAGAAATTTATTTTCTCAGAGTTAGGAGGCTAGAAGTCCAAATTTCATAGTGTGACTCCATGGGGAGGCACTACATTGTCTATTTCAATTTCTAATAATTGGCAATCCTTTGGTTTCCTGAGCTTTCAGATGCATTTGGCTCCATTGTTACAGATAACATTTGTCTTGCCCCTTTTGTACTTAGTTTTCTCTGGTCTAGGCTGCTCCTTATAACTCTGAAATGATTAGATTCGGGACACACCCTACATTGATATGGCCTCATTAACATAAAAGAAAGCCCTATTCCCAAATGGAATTACATTCACAGGTATGGGGATTAGGGTTTACAACACATTTTTTTGGGGACCACAATTCAATTCATAACATATATTAAGATGGTAAAAGGGGAAATTGTAATAGGCTAACTTGTTTATCCTATTCCGTATTAAGTTCTTGTGATACTGTTGAAATGGGCCTTCAAGTCAATTCTGATGCATCAGAACTTTATAAGACAGAATAGAACTTAGAACTGCCCCACAGGGTTCCTTATGCTGTAGTATTTACAGAAGTAGAGTGCCACACTTTCTCCTGCGAAGTAGCTGGTGAGTTTGAACTGGCAACCATTTGGTCAGTGACCATGCACTTAACCATTGCACCACAGGACTCCTTCCTGGCAAAGTTGTTGTTAGGTGCCGTCAAATCAGCTCCAACTCTCACAGCAACCTTGTGTACAACAGAAAGAAACACTGCCCAGTTGTGGGCCACCCTCACGATCCTTGCTATACTTGAGTCCATCATTGCAGCCAGTGTGTCAATCCATCTTGTTGAGGGTCTTCCCCTTTTTCACTGACCCTCAACTATATAAAGCATGTTATCCTTCTCCAGGGCATGGTCCCTTCTGACAACATGATCAAAGTAGGTGAGACGAAGTCTGGCCATTCTCACTTCCAAGGATCATACTGGCTGGACTTCTTCCGGGACAGATTTGTTCCTTTTTGTGGCAGTCCATGGTATTTTCAGTATTTTTCACCAACACCATAATTCAAAGACATCAACTCTTCTTCCATCTTTCTTATTCATTGCCCAGCTTTCACATGCATATGTTGTTGTTGTTATTAGGCACCAAAGGTGAAGAAATTGAAGATTTTTACGAACTTCTGCAGTCTGAAATTGACAAAGCATGCAATGTAATCAAGATGTATTGATCATTACTGGTAAATGGAATGCAAAAGTTGGAAACAAAGGAGCAGCATCAGTAGTTGGAAAATATGGCCTTGATGCCAGAGATCATATGATAGAATTTCGCAAGACCACTGGCTTATTCATTGAAAATACCTTTTTTTTCAACAGCATAAATGGCAGCTATGCATGTGGACCTCACCAGATGGTATGCACAGGAATCAGATCGACTACACCTGTGGTACAAGATGATAGAGAAGCTGAGTATTATCAGTCAAAACAAGAGCTGACTGTGGAACAGACCATCAATTGCTTGTATGCAAGTGCAAGTTGAAACTGAAGAAAATTAAGTCCACAAGAACCAAAATAGGACCTTGATTATATCCCATCTAAATTTAGAGACCATCTGAAGAATAGATTTGATGAATTGAACACCGATGACCAAAAACCAGACAATTTGTA